GGTTATGAAAGAAAAATTCCTAATCCATTGACTCACAAATGAACGAAGAAAAAATAAATCTGTCGAGACCACCAAATTCCGCCTAAATGAAAAATATCATTGCAAACTTCTCTCATTAATCACAACTTTGTAGTATACATATAGCATCGGTACATGCGCGAGCCGTCCCATAAATACACTTTCCACAGCGATTTCTTTAAAAAAAACAAACCGGTACATTCTGCTTCCACGCGATTTTTCCCTCTAATTTCCATTCTTTATGCATCCACGCTCCGTTGTGTCGCGTTTCGCCAAGACCGGGCGTCATTCGCACCATTGTTTCCGCGGCGACAAACACGGCCGAAAATAGATCGACGCCACTTTACGGGGATGATCGGACCGTCACCGTTTATTAACAAGCAGCGAATTCTTCACCGAGACCGGCCGCGATTTATTCTCCTTCGCGGTTCCCCCGTGTTCCCCGGCGGTAATAAAATCCTCTTCTCGGCCGTTGTCTCTCTTTCCGTCGTCTCTGGTGCAGCGGCATATTTTAGACGGTGAATAAATAAACGATTTCTTTTGGTACACCTAAAGAATTCGGGAAAAGGAGACACTTTTCTTGACCGTGACATGTGGCCAGCACGAGAAAAATTTTTCCGCCCGAGCATCGACGACGACTGCCTCTCTTTCTCTCGTCTGTTTTTCCTCTCTTGCATCTGGTCCCATCTTTCTCCGGCGCTCCGTCGTTCTTCCTCCGCCTTTGCCTCCCTCGTCGCGGCACCGTGGTCCCCGTCTCGAGTTCTTTCGAAAGGGAGACTATGCATTTTTCGTCCGTTTAAAAATAGGCGATCTGGCCGTACCGCGAACTGGCCAGAGGTCAGTCACTCCTTGGGCCGCAACACCGGCGCAAAAATAGCCGGCAAAACGGAAAAAAATAATTTCCTCCTTGGCGAATCCCGGTGAAATCTCGGATATACAGCGATATCCATGGCGCTGAGAGTGGACCACTGGTTGCTGATGTCTGGGATTCTTATTGTCGTTTACTATTATCGAGGCCACTTGAGGGATGAATTTTCCTTGAAAATTAAGAAAGTGGTCCAATTGTAAGTTAAATACTATCATAGAATATACTTGTTTACCACTGCAGCTTCAGTGACTGTGTTCTGGTTTTTTCTCGTATTGCTGTGGAATGAAGAAATGCCGACAAAATGGTAACGGAGGACCATAAGACAGGACGAACCGTGTTTTGACTCTTCTCAGATTCGTAAAGTAAAACTACCCTTGGATACTTTAACTTTGCTACGATTCTTTGTTCAGATGTACACAACGCTCATAAGTACAGTGATTCCTCGTTGAATGCGACACGAGCAATGGCGTTATTCCCACCACTAGGGGGGAGGGGGGTGGTCCCCTGTGAAATTAATCAAAACAGTGTGAACACAAGCTAAGTAGAGGCTCGGCTTCTGATAAAAAACAAATTTGTGAGGGGCTGAAAACCTTTCTGCCTTGCTCCGAAGCGGACCCAAGTACGTTGCACTCACCGAGACATTACTGTATGAGAACAATTACCGAATATGCAATGAATATTACAAGCCATCAGAAAATTGCTGAAAGTCAGAAATAAATTTGTTCAGAGGGTTATTCAAGCTCGATGTACAATGTTTATGTTGCTATAAATTAATGAAAGTTGTTTGAAATATCTCATTTATACGATACATTGCATTTTCTTCATACAGTCCAGGTGTCCTAATACTCCTAACCGGTAGTCTATATTCGAAATAATGACTGGGAAAGAGAAACACACTGTCAGTAACAAATTCTTCGCACAGTTCGCGAACCTAAGAATATTTTTGAAGAGTCGAGATTAAGATTAAGTCGAAAAAGTGTTTAATGTCATGATAGCGTTAAGGTAACGAAAACGCGATTGCGTTGAAATAGATTTGAAGGTCGTAGCAAGGTTAAGGAAAAGAGCATTCGACGCAATTTTCTTGATTGGTAGCGAGCAATACCTTTACTTCACTTCAAATGTTTATAGAGTGATTTACACAAATTTGTATCCCTATTATAACTCTATTCACATTCATCTGGATGGAAGAGCATCTGAGCCTTTTTTATTAGTTTATAATGAAAATTATAATAATATATACAATAAATAATAAAGAATAATAATTAAAAGAAGTAATACATTTTAAAACTACTAATTTCAGCTGTTCTGTACTGACAGCCCTGAGGCTTCTCTCCATTAAATTCTAACATAGGCAAAGGTTCCAACAATTACCAAATAAAACAGAATCTTCATTCAGTTTCACTAAACTGCTTCATTACAATAAATATACCATAACATCGAATAATAAATAACTATCATGGCGAACTTCAAATATAAATGGCTAAAATTCACATATCCATAACTGCAGATAGAAAAACGGGTTCAGTTGCGTGAGAGACGGTCACGATTTCCGCTTCGTCGTGAAAAATCTCTCGTCTCCGACGTGTTCTGGACCCATTCAACGATCACCTCTCCTATTTTTTTTTTCTATACGCCTGCTTTCGCGTCACCTGAACAGGCCCCCGGATTGCGAGGTCCGAATCTGCAGAGTCAGTTCTGCCCGATTTTTCACGGGGTCCGATCCCTTTTGTAGGGGGCGCTGCCCGGTTGTCATATTTGCCTATGATGGACGATTTATCGGTGAAAGGACTCCACGACACGGCAAAACAGATTCACGGGGATGACGAGCGTGTTTCTCATTCAGCGAACGGGACACGGATCGGTCGCACCACATTTCGGCAATTCCAACATCGATTCGTTGATTATGCTCCGTCGGATCGGCGAGTCCAATTTTCGTAGGGACAGGCTCGGTTGAACACGCTTTTTTCTTTTCCTTCTTCCTCCACCTCCGTCCGGTTCTTCTTCTTGTAAAAGTTCCGGGCCCCCGTCATCCTCCTTCCACGCCCGGTCGAAAAATAAATCGAGCCGCGTCCAGAGGCGTTTCTAAGGTCGATCGAGAGACGTGGCCACGCATCTGGACATTTCTATATTTGAACCGAAATCGGGCAGAGCACCCTTCAGCCTTTAGGAAACTTCCTTTTCGACGATTTCATCGCCGTTTCGTCTATTACTCTGCTGACACTACTTTTGGTTTGGTGACAAAAATTACGTGAAACAGATTTAGTTAATCCTTTAACGCCCAGACCTTTACATCGTTTTTTCGAAATTATTGGACTGATATATATATATATATGTTGTATCTTGTTATTTTCAAGTCGAATATATGGATAGTAAATGGATATATTTTTTGTATTTTTTATTTATTTTTAGAGGGAATACTTCAATTTCTAAATTGAAAACGCTGAGATCTACTTTACTATCGGTGAAATTATGGATCCTTGCTGACAAAAGTTAGATATTAACCGTCGACAAAATTTCACGCACTTTTTGTACCCGTGCAATATAGGGCAAAGAGGTTAAAGGGTTAAGGTTCATAAGTGGACGGTGGATGTTTGTGCAATTTAGATGTTTCTTGTCCATTTTCTAAGAACTGGGATCAAATAGAAAGTTCTTTACTATATTAACATTAGAATTACCGAGATAAATATATGTCTATTTCTATTGGATCGATAAACATGACGAATTTTGAAAATATTCAAATTTATAAATTAAATAAGTTCTCCATTTTCTTATCGCAAGGAGAGTTGTGAAAGATTTGAAAGAATTCATTGTTGTAAGATTATAATCATCGTTACAGGAATGTATCCAGTCATTTTAACTGCTTTGGTAGTTCTCGTGTTAAGGATGCTGTTAGAACAGAGATAAAGACTTCATCAAACTTCACTTAAATATCTTTTATATACTGACTTTTAGATAGTCATATACGCTATAAATGAATAAAATTCGAAATCTACTCATAAGATTTAACAAAATTGAAAGAATAAGTTACTGTGATAAAGGCTGATTTATGATCTCATGTTTATTGTGTAAAGGGGATTTTAGGTCAGTAGAATTTTGTCGTAGATAATGCGTCGTTGAATATCATCTTTCCTCACTACGTAACACTTTTAATAAACCAGGTATGATTATGTGTTTGATGACAGAAGGGGGCTATAAACATTTGAACAGTAGTGTAATTTTAGGTAATTACCCAGATTGCGCTGTTCGTAGTCAACATTCGAATGAAAATTGAAAATAGAAGTAATTTTTCGTGACGCTGTGTACACAGAGTGTCAGCGATTATTTTTTATAGAAAGGGAGAAGCCGCGAGGCGAAAGGAAAACAGAAGGGGAGGAAACCGTGGTATTTCGAGGGAACGATAGGGCAATTTGAAGTAAATTTAGCGTTAATTTTCAAGTATTATATTATATAATTGATGACATCTGTCGTATGTAGACGATCTGTCCATGCAACTTCAATGATTCCCGAATGAAAAAAGAAAGGTAACGATTAAGGAACGGAAACATAATGCAGATTATTCCATGCTGCTTTTTGCATGAACTCTTGCAGAATTTCGGAATTTAAATTCTCATAAATAATGCAGGACGGGGAATAACCTAGAGGCGTATGTAACCGATGCGACACATGCATAAACTCTTTCAGACTTTGATACATATTTTTCAATATCGAGCATCCAAACTTTCTTGTGAATCATAATTTTTAAAATAACGTCTTAATTAAATTTTAATGGAATATTTCCTTTTAGACAGCGAAACTGTACCGTATAATAATATCGTCGTCTTTATATTCGCGTAGTTTATTACTATTTCAAAGCAAAGTCAGTTGTAGGTCTTCTGACTTGTACCCGGATACTTAGGAAAAGGTTTTCTGTTTGATACCTATGTAAACATTACCAGTACTTCTAATGACCTCGTCGTTAATCGTTTTTGCAGACACATGGCTGAACCTGGGCAGTGACATCGCGGAATTCCTTCAGTGTGTCCGTGACCGTTCGAGTACGTTAGTGTTCAGTTACGTAGTTCTCTTGTATTATCGTTCGTGGGTGAAAAATTTCAACAGTATAAAATTATTAGAAATGGCTCAAAGTGACTCAAAGCGATTTAAAATGATTCAAAGTGTACTCAAAGTGATAAAAAGTGAATTGAAATGATTCGAGGTGCAGATTAAAGTGCTACAGCCGATACGACCGATCTTTCCGTTTTCTGCGTTGGTGCTCTGCGAAGGGCGTTTAAGGTAAGAGAACAATTTCCTTCAATTTATTAGGAACTACAATCGTTTTACTGTGATAACTACATACTGTGATTCTGCAGTTAACTTGCAATATTCCTGCAAGCCATGATTGAAAAAGAAAACCCCAATATTCGGATTATATTCGCATAATAGTTGTTTATTGACAAGTTACATGTAATTTATATAAACGTATTTATTTACATTTGATATAACATTTAATATAAGACGAATAGATTGCGAATATTTAAACAAAATTTCCATTTTCAAATACTAAGTCACAAGAATGATCAGAATCAAAGTAGAATTTATCCAATTGACGAAAGAGTTCTATTATTTGAAAAATTGAATATTGAACCCTTTAGTGTATTGATTAAACGTTTTTGATCCATTGCGTTTCACACATTTGTATATTCTGCAAATAGTAATTGTATAACTGCAAGCAAGCTGCAGTCTACTATTGACTGAAACACCATGTTTCAAAGAAATTAGTTATGAAAGGTATCTAAGATGACTGATAATGAGTAGTGGTCCATCTGGACTCAAGTACCGCCTTTTACTCAATCATTAAAAACGTCCATCTTCCGAGGGTTAAACACAATTCGTCGCCAACTAATATTTCAAAGCTACTATATAAAACTCCTCGTTCTAACCCATACAGTATGTTTTCAAATGACCCCAATCAATCCCGCAAATTTCCACTCCCAGTTGTAACCTTGCCTGTAAAATTACCAAAGCCAAAACCCGAACGATCCAAATCTCGCCAACGACCAGTCGGACTCTCTGTGCTCTCCGGCGCGTGGTCCAAGGATGATATTCAATAATACCGTCGCCAACTAATATTTCAAAGCTACTATAGAAAAATCCTCGTTCTAACCCATACAGTATGTTTTCAAATGACCCCAATCAATCCCGCAAATTTCCACTCCCAGCTGTAACCTTGCCTATAAAATTACCAAAGCCAAAACCCGAACGATCCAAATCTCGCCAACGACCAGTCGGACTCTCTGTGCTTTCCGGCGCGTGGTCCAAGGATGATATTCAATAATACCGTCGCCAACTAATATTTCAAAGCTACTATATAAAAATCCTCGTTCTAACCCATACAGTATGTTTTCAAATGACCCCAATCAATCCCGCAAATTTCCACTCCCAGCTGTAACCTTGCCTATAAAATTACCAAAGCCAAAACCCGAACGATCCAAATCTCGCCAACGACCAGTCGGACTCTCTGTGCTTTCCGGCGCGTGGTCCAAGGATGATATTCAATAATACCGTCGCCAATTAATATTTTAATGCTACTATATAAAAATCCTCGTTCTAACCCATACAGTATGTTTTCAAATGACCCCAATCAATCCCGCAAATTTCCACTCCCAGCTGTAACCTTGCTTGTAAAATTACCAAAGCCAAAACCCCGAACGATCCAAATCTCGCCAACGACCAGTCGGACTCTCTGTGCTCTCCGGCGCGTGGTCCAGTGATGATATTCAAGGGGGCAGCTAGAATAATACGGTCGCGTAAAGATGTGTACGCGGAAGGGAACGGAAGATAAAGAGGATAAGAAGTTGAAGACGATCCAGCAGGCCCGTCGTGGATAGTGCGTGGCCGCGGAAACACAGCCGGATGGAAACCGGTGGAAAGAGAGGCGAGTAGACGAACCGACGATCCTAATCTCCCCGGGCCAAGGCCTCGGTCGAAAATTCAATTAAACTTTTGATATACGGGCTGCCTGGCCGCCACGGCGCGGCTGTGTAAACGAAAATTTCGCAAGGTTCACGTGCTTTCCTTGGAACGGTAGGCTTTTACCGTCGTAGAAACGTAACCGAAAGACGGCGAGCGCGCGCGAACGTTTGGCCCTACGTAAAACGATTAAGAGACCGCGACGCTCTCGCCCGGGGGGTTGCCCTTTCATCCGGATAGAGGGTGGCCGGTTGCTCAACCGAACAGACCGAAAAGAATGCCAGTCGGAGCCTGGATTGATGCGAGACGACGACGCATCGGGCCGGGAAATCTGGAAATTTATCTCGGACGATTTGTCGGATTCGTTGGGACCACGGAAAGAGAGAGAGAGAAGGAGTGGAGGTTCTAACTGCGAGGATATCGACGCCAGGATAACTTCCTACACCTCTTCTTCTTCTTCTTCTGCCTGATCCGTTTTTTTCACCTTTTTTATTAAACTGCTCCTTAATACGCGCACAAAGGCGGGGTGTTACCGGGTGATTTATACACGGCGATCGAGGAGTTGGATTCTTTCGTTTAAGGCGGGATTCTGGTAGTATTGGCAGTCTTCGGGATCTCGGTTCGGGATTAGTAGCGAATCGGTTTGATGTCCGTGTGATACGGTAGTAGATTCATATTCAATTAGCACTCTTCATGGACGTTTATAAATTGGATATACTTTAATATTTAGTGTTTAATGGTAACACTTTTTTGTGCATCAGGGGGAGAAAAGAACTCAGCTCCAAGTTTGAATTGAATCTGGATTTTTGAAAACATCCTCAGTTTGATGTCCTTTTTTTATTATTTTAATCTAAGCTATTCTACATGAATATATAAAGATTAAACTTCAAAAAATACCTTTTTCGGGAAGTCGGGATATATTTCGAGTTCTAAATCATTTGGGGTCAGCTGGCCTCTATGGGTACTTCTAAGAACTTTTAGGATGTGTACATTCGAAGTGTTATTGTTAGGTGTGCCAATAAGTAATTTACTGATAGTTTAAGGACTTAGTATTAAGTTTTAACAAACTCGAAGATCTATAGTGCTTCATTTATTTTAAAGAATGTATGATTGGAAAGATTTTTTGAGGTAAACTACATACCGCCTCGTAATTTTGAAAAATGATGGATTACTTATTGGTACGCCTAATATATTATATAAAAAAATTCGATTGTACACAAGGAATTTATACAGAATATTTTTCGGTGGGTTCTACGTTGTTGAAACAGCAATAATAAGGATTATTTTTCGAAACGAGTTGGTCCTTTGTTTCACTTTAATGAATAATTGATAGAACTTATAATTAATATTTTCTACCTGTTTCGAGATGCTTTGTATGACTCCTTTTTTACTGAATTGAGTTCGTTTTGAAAACCGTTTCTGCTACATTTTCATATAACCGGGTGTTTCGTACTTTTCGTCTTACGTCAAATACCATTGAACAACTATCTTGAAACTCTCTGATAACTTTTTACTAAAGCATTTACAGACACGTATTTACACAAATTTCATTATTAACTATCCACTCTTCCATCAGATTCCAAATCCATTCAATGTTCCATTCTCAAAAATTCCTAAATCGGCCTTTGTGGAATACCTATTTCCCAAAAATCGTCCATAAACACTGATTCAGGCTCAATGTTACCATTAACCGTACCGAGACTTCTATATACCTGTTTGTACAGTATTTAACACTAGAACTACCAAGCAAGTCAAAATGGCTTGTCAATACACTCTTCCAACAACGATTAAAATATTATAACAATACATTTTCTCAGATCTTTTAATTTTCTTTAAATTTCTCAATTTTCAAACGTTTTTCCACGTTTATCCCTCAAAGTAGATCATTTGTCTAGCGGTCGATAAGATTACTGTTAATTCCCCGGCCAAAAAAGAAAAAAATATCATTCCCATCGTTTCGCCGTGGAGCATCGAGTCGATGCAAGGAAGTATCTGGTGACGCAACCGCGCGACGATTCTTTCGGCCTCCGTCGATTCTTCGGTAAATTCGATACACCTGTGTGCCAATTGTTTTGACATGTGTCCCTATTGTGGCCTCTCTCTCTCTCTCTCTCTCTCGATCCACGGGGACGATACCACTCGAGGAGAGACACGCGCCCGGTTCTGGGGACACCTCTCCGTCTCGTAACGACATGCGGGTCGGTACAGTCCAACATCGAACGAAAAAGAAGGAAAAAAAAAAAAAATATACGAAACAAGAATCCAGCCCAGCTACCATGAAAAAGAGAACGACAAGAAAGAAGAAGAAGAAAGGACGTGGTTGACGAGCGAAGACGATTCAATTTTCTGATTAGACACGAGTAACGGTGTCTCGCCTACCGAATTTCACTTCTCCATCCTCCTCCCACCTAACTTCTATCATCCTCTAAAAACGATACACACCGTACGGTTCTCTTCTTTTGACCGTTCGTCGTCACATGCACGCAATTTTTTTTTTTTTTGTTTCGGGGCACGTCTCTTCGCGCGCGACCACTCCGACACAGGATGTAGCCGACGACCGTGCGCGCGCGCGCGCACGCCTGCCCGCCCGGTGAAAGTTATGGCTTTTCTATTGTTTCGCGCAGCGGCTGCTACGACCTGCGGGATCGTCGTTTTTGAATGGGGCATCGCGCGCGCCTTGCCTCCGCGTCTCTATCTCTCTCCTTCCTCGAAGATGTAACGACAGACCGGAGACCCGGGCGACGCGGAGAACGCGTTATGACCTCGCTGGAGCATCGAGAGAGGCGACCCTTTGTTTAACCATCCGACGATCCGTTTTGCCGTATCGTTACGTTTTTATTGCCTACCGAGCACTTGATGGAAAGTCGGTGGCACAGTGAAATTCACGGGTGGCGAACTTTAAAGCGAATTTTACGGCAGTTGATGGAAATTAATTTGTAGTAACATCTATTCTTCGTCCTTTGTATGTATGAATATGTCTTTGTTCATTTTTGGGCTGCGGATGTTTGTGCGAATGTGGACGGTTTTCGGATAAATTTACGGTAACTGGAATTAAATAGAAATTTATTTACCCTCTTGGGGATTTATTTAGGTTCTGGGAGGAACAAAAATATTACTGAATTTTGTTAAAATATTGAGTATACTGTATTGTGGATACCTGAGTATACTATGAATGCATAAGATCCGCAGACTACAGTAAATCTTCGATTAATGTTCGAAGGCTACTCGACCCTGAACATTAAATATTTCATTAACTAATGGCCATACGCGGCTGAAACAAATATCATTGGCTTCAGAATTTCAAGCTCTATCATTGTGCTAAC